CCTGCTGAAGCCTGTCACTTTCCCACCTCAAGGACCCCAGATACCCACACACCAGTGGAAAAGAAAAACGTCGGAGGCCTTGGGTCTTCTGAAAATGGAGCACCCGGTTTGTGGCACTATCCACAGCCACTACCACATTGTCCTCATGGCAACGAGTTGGGTGGCTGGGGGATGACTCCTTGAAGATCATCGTCATCACAGATACATTTTTTTCCAGCTTCCGCCTTAACCTGTAAAGGATAGGAGGGAGAGAGCTGCAAAAAAGCAGTCTTAGGGCTCTGCTGGTCCCAAACCTCATCTCTACCGTTTTCCCATCCTGACCTGTGTTCTTCCAGGGCTCTGGTAATATTGATGTTTGAGATGACATCCCCATACACCAGAAGGAAGTCAGAGCGCACCAAGGCCTTAGCATCAACATCACGGAGAATATCCCCCAGTGATCTATATAGCTCTGATGTAATTATTCGAACCACGTTGAGGGATGTAGGGCGGCACCACTTGGATTTCCTAAAGGAAGGGAGGTGAGGGGGATGAGTAAACCAAGCATAAAGATCATGCAGAGCTTCCCTATTTTTTCTCCCCACTCAACATTCACACTCCTTTGCTACGGCTTTTTTTGGGTTCCTGTCAGCGTCCTTGACTTCAAAGAGGTTTATGAACTATAATTAATGGTTTCAGCATAGTCTGTCACTAGTCTTGTTTTATGGGTTAGAGAAACATGGCTATTTCCTCTTCATACCCTGACCCCTGTCCCTAAACATGGATTGGAACTAAAAATCCCGCTGAGACTTAGGTTATACAAAGTATCCTGGGAACACACATTTCATGCCACTTTTCTCCTTCTAAAGCTCATACCAAATTTAGGAGCTGTTTGATGGAGACCATGCTAACATCCTAGTCTTTATTTCCTAAGCTTCCATAAATCCTGAGATTCACTCTTTTTCAAAAACACTTCGCTCAACATTTGTTAAGTGTCTACTACGTGCGTGGTACTAAGCTAGGCACCAGGAATACAAAGATGAGGAAGAGCTCAATATTTAGAAGCTCAGTGGAAAAACAAAGATATTACTCTTGTAACTTGCATATTGGAGCCACTAAATAAAAAGCAAAACCCATTGGGTACAAACTTTGTGAGATTCAGAAAAAATCCAAATGCTATTCTTTAATCTTTGTCACAGCTTCAGCTGCTCACCTAAGTGAAGAGAATGCCCTTAGACCTTATGACGGGATCCAAACAGACACATTTTTCTCCCTCATAATCTCCTCTTATTTAGTTATATCCATCCTAAGGAAACTGGGAAAAAATGGTGAAACATGGAAAGAAAAGTTGCAGAGCCTTACAATAAATGTTCCTTGATTTGGGCAGCCTTCCAGCAACAAAAGACAAAGGTTTCCTGTACACCTGTGGCAGTCAGAAATTCCAGAGTGTAGTCAATTAGTGCCACATTGGCCAGGGGCAAGAGGACCTGAGGGTAGGAGATGAAAAAAGTCATGAGGGTCCTCTGAATATCATTCTTTCCCCCATTTCAACCACAATTTTCACTCCTCTATCAACACTATCTATCAAACACTAGTTTTTACTTTATCTTTCCTATTTAAAACTAATCAGGCTGCTGCCTTTGATGTACATGGCATACTCTGAACATCTGAGTCTAATGGGTTGCAATTTGGATATAGTAGGCATGGAATCTACTTGCTTAGCATCAGACGCAGAGCTGGTATAGAACAGCAGACTACCCCCAACAAAGGATAATACAGAAATCAATTACATCTCCAGAAGCTTCAGTACCACTAATGCTTTTTTTCCCATAAAATTTCCTTCCTTGATCCCTTTCTAAGAGTCAGGGGCTAGCCATCCCAATCAACTGTACAAAATAAACAGCCATTAGACTATTTAGAGGGAGTGGTGAGTCAAAGAGGTTTTTCCTGAACTGAATGCAAGTCCTTTTCTTTGAACTGGGGGACTGCTGAATGACCCAGCAAGCCCTAGGACTAGATCAGTCCAGTTCCCCAGTGTCTAGACAATACTGGGGATGTGGGCAACCAGCCACTGAACCTGTTCTGTTCTCCTTTTGACAGATAGCACTAGCTGTCACTAAAACCTGAAAAGAAAAAAAGCACACTGTAAGAGATCCAAAACAGCTGTTACTATGAAATCAGACCAGCCTGCTCTTTTTTTAGGCACATGACCTCCCTTTTGGAGGCAAAAGGAGGTGACAGTCCCTTTCACCTAAGGATTTCTCTTTCCTCTACATAAGGGTGGCGCAGCCTCCTCTTGCACTGAATCCCCGTGTGAAGGCTTCTCACAAGCACTGCTTCTTCATTAGCCCCTGCAGGCCTCCCAAACCTGAGGTGGACAGCATTACGAGTGCCCAAATCTGCCTGCCACTCACTTGGTCAGGCAGTCGTCAGGGCTTTAGACGGTCTCTCCGCCTTCCTCCTAACCAGATAAACCCGATTTCTGGGAAAGACAGTGGACACAAGTCCTTCCAGAGCGCGCCTCACTAGGCAGCCGAAAAGATAACTTGGTCTAGCTCCGCCACCTCCGGACCCTCTGGCAGCTTTCGCACGCGGCGCTCACCCGAGGCTGGTCCTTGGAGATGGGGAAGAAGCGGCGGTTGAAGCTGTCGGCCACCAGAACTGCTTGTAGGGGCGGCGGCGGTTCCTCCTCCGCCCCTCTGGCTGCTCCACCGCCGCCGCCGCCGCCGCTGCCACCGCCTGCCGGCCCGCTGCCGCTGCGCTTGTTGGGCCGACCGGCCACCACACCAGGCGGCGCCACCACAGTGGCCGCCATCTTCTTCTCTCACAGTCACCACTTCCGCTCGGAAACTGACACGGCACGCAGTAGGGGACAAAAAGATCCAGCACTCGAAATGCGAAGCACTAGCGAAGGGAGGCCGGGAGGAGCTGAGGAGAAAGGAATGCGCATGCGTCTCCCCTAGCCCTGTCTGAAGGCTGAGCAGCAAGGAGCACGGCGTGGGGCCCTGCGGCGCTGGTGGCCGCATATTGAGGCGCCCGGGGTTGGGGTCCTGTGGACTGCAGACTCCATCTGCAAGTATTATCGGCTGTCATTTGTTCGTGAGCAAGCTGAGATTCTTGGGGGATAATGAGACACGTGGTCTCTGCGAAGCGGCCAGATCCTTTCTGGATGTGTAATCTTCTCCGCCCCGAGCATGTTAAAAATTGTGGTCCTCTGTCATCATTCTCATCACCTAATGTGACCCGGTACCCTGGGGAGCTCAGAACCGAGTCAGACATTCCTTCCCTCAGGGCACTCACAGTCTACATAAATACAGAACGTGGAATAGAAGGGAGAGTAGTAATTCTATTAAGCGCTGATCGTGGCGGGGAATGATACAAGCATTATCGCACTTAGTTCGTCACACGTTTCTGAGAGAACATTTTATCCATTAGTTCAACAAACATTTCTTTTTTTTTTTTAAATTTATTTTATTTATGTATTTTTGGCTGCTGTGGGTCTTCGTTACTGCGCGCCGGCTTTCTGTAGTTGTGGAGAGCGGGGTCTTCTTTTGTTGCGGAGCACGGGCTCTAGGCACACGGGCTCCAGTAGTTGTGGCACGTGAGCTCAGTAGTTGTGGCTGGTGGGCCCTAGAGCGCAGGCTCAGTAGTTGTGGCGCACAGGCCCAGCTGTTCCGCAGCATGTGGTATCTTCCCGGGCCAGGGCTCGAACCTGTGTCCCCACATCCGCCTGCCACACATTGGCAGGCGGATTCTTAACGACTGCGCGACCGCGCCACCAGGGAAGCCCCAACAAACAATTCTTCAAGTCTCAGTGGGGTGAAGTTCACCCAGCTAGTAAGTGGAAGAACTGTTGTTGGAACCCGATCCATATGACGTCATAGCTCCACAATCTTTCTGCCATGTGTGGATAAAAATTTATTATTTTATGATGTCTTCATTTATTCATTAATTCAGCCTATCAGCATTTATTGAAGATCTACTCTGTGCCTTAATCAGATTGGAAATAAAGGTGGAACCACGAACACTCTAAAGTTGAGTAGGCCTGGAGGATGTAAGCCGCAAGGCCCGAGTCTTGAGAGGCGCGGCACCAGTTGGGGAAAGAGGCAGTGGGCTGCAGCGGGTAAGCCAGGCCTGCGGAAGTGCGGGACCTTGGGGACGTGGTGGAAGCGAGGTGAGGCAGCTTGGGTGTCCTTTGGTGGACAGAGAACTTGCCAGCAAGGCACCGTGCTCTTCCAGCACGAGAACTGTCGGAGTTCCACCATCGATTCCTCAAAGTTTCTGCAAGCGTCATTACCACCCACGGCCGCGTTGCATGTCTGGATTCGGAGTTCCAAGGGCTGAGATTTGTTTCCGTCTGGCGGCTGTGGCTTGGCCCGCGTTACTCAGGCACCCTCCTCGTGGGTCCGAGGAGTCTGTCATTTCTTCACTCAACCAGTTGAGAGCGCTAAGCGAAAACTGTTTCTTCAGAATTTTGGAAAATTTAGCCTGGAGAAGGAAAGGCAGAAGGCAACTCAGTAAAAGTTTTCAATTAAAATGAGTGTACATTGTAGAAGAAGGTGTTCCACTGTCCTACAAATTCACAGGAAGAAAGAGAAAAGATGGGTGAGTAAACAAACAGGACTAGTAATTTGTGCGAGCACACACACGAGGGGGTTGCGTGGGGATGTGTTGAGGGTATGGGAAATAGGTCCAATTGTAGAAAATTTTAAATGACTCCTGACACCTCTGAAAATGTGAGTGGTAAATCCAGGCCTTGTAATTCTGTAGACAGGTAGCTGGATGCATAAGATTTTAATGGATGGGTCTTAGGGAGACTCTTTCTCGACCTGTTGTTATTTTTTTTATTTTTTATTTTTTGCTTCAAAACTTAACAACAACGAAACAAAAATGGGCAAAGGACTTGAATGGATATTTCTTGAAAGAAGGTATACGAATGGCCAACAAGCACATGAAAGGTGCTTAACATGACTAATCATTAGGTAAGTGCAAATCAAGACTGCAGTGAAATATCATCTCATGCTCATTAGGATGACTGTTATCAAAACAAACAAACCAAACCCCAAACTAAAAACCAGAAAGTAAGAGGCATTCGTGAGGATGTGGAGAAATTGGAATCCTTGTGCACTGTTGGTGGGAATGTAAAATGGTACAGGCACTGTGGGAAACGGTATGGTGGTTCTTCGAAAAATGAAACAGAATTACTATGTGATCCAGCAATTCAACATCTAGATATACCCCCAAAAAGTGAAAGCGGGGACTCAACAACAGATATTTATACATCCATGCTCATAGCAACATTATTCATGATAGTTAAAACATGGAAGCAACCCAAGTGTATGAATAGGTAAGCAAAATGTGGTACCCTAGCATATAATCCTCAGAGCTGGGTTCCATTCCAGCTTCTAGTCATTTACTAGCTGTTTATTCTTGGGCAGGTTACACAATCACTCTATGCCTGGACTTCCTCATGTTTGAAATGGGATAATAACAGTACTTACCTCAGAGGGTTGAAAAGCCCTTAGAACACTGTTGACACACTGTCAGTACAACTTAAGTATTAGCTAATATTATGATGATGCATTTTTGTCTGCAACTTAATTTTTATTTAATATATGGTGGAATGTAGACAAACCTAGCTATTTTCAATGATTCCATAACATTCTGTAGTATGCATATACCATTATTTATCCAACCGTTTCTCAACTGGTAAGCATTCAGATTTTTTTTCAGTTTTTGCTATTACAAATAATGCTGCAACTAGCATCTTCCTATTGATATCTTTATACATTTGCATTTATTTATTAGAATTTGTTCTTAAAGGAGAGTGACTGGTTCAAATTGAATTCAATTCCCATGGCAGGGGATATGCTGTTGAACTCACTGGGAAACCTGCTGAGACTTAATTGCTCATGGTGTTATATTACTTAATGGCTATCCATGGAAAATGTGCCGTTTTGCCCTGACACTGGCAGTGTATGAGAGTACCTGTTCCCCTACAGCTTCACAAACAGAGTGTGTTGTCAACAGTTTGGACTTTCTGTCAATCTATAGGGGAACAAAGTGTAGTTTTAATTTGTATTTCCCTTTTTAAAAAAAAAATAATTTTATTTTGATTCTTTTCTCTCTTTTTTTAAAAAAATTAATTAATTTATTTATTTTTGGCTGCACTGGGACTTTGTTGTTGCATGCGGGCTTTCTCTAGTTGTAGAGAGCAGGGGCTACTCTTTGTTGCAGTGTGCAGGCTTCTCATTGCGTTGGCTTCTCTTGTTGCGGAGCACGGGCCCCAGGCATGCGGGCTTAAGTGGTTGTGGTTCGCGGGCTCTAGAGCATAGGCTCAGTAGTTGTGGCACATGGGCTTAGTTGCTCCATGGCATGTGGGATCTTCCCGGACCAGGGCTCGAACCCGTGTCTCCTGCATTGGCAGGTGAATTCTTAACCACTGCGCCACCAGGGAAGCCCTGTATTTCTCTTAGTTTGAGTGAGGATGAACATGTTTTCATATGTTAAAAGACCATTTGGTCAACCGTCAGTTCTGGTTCTTTTTGTAAATTAATATATTGCCATTAAGGTTTCAAAATGAGTCTTGAATATCACCCAGTCTAGAATGTAAGCTCTGTGAAAATTGGGGCTTTCTATCTGTTTTAGTCACTACTGTATCCCAGGTCTAGAAGAGTACCGGGCACATGGCACATGCTCAATAAATATTTGCTGAATGAATGACTGGTTGTTGCCAGTCAGTAAGTGAGAATCTCATCAATTTTAGACAAATAAGTAGAAGTAATTTCAGGCTCCTCCAAGCTGAGGCTTATGTTTTTTTTTTTTGCGGTACGCGGGCCTCTCACTGTTGTGGCCTCTCCCGTTGAGGAGCACAGGCTCCGGACGCGCAGGCTCAGCGTCCATGGCTCATGGGCCCAGCCGCTCCGCGGCATGTGGGATCTTCCTGGACTGGGGCACGAACCCATGTCCCCTGCATCGGCAGGTGGACTCTCAACCACTGCGCCACCAGGGAAACCCTGTTTTGTTTTTTTAATTGTGGTAAAGTACACATAACATAAAATTTACCATCTTAACCATTTTTAGGTGTACAGTTCAGTGCTATCAAGTACATTCACATTGTTGTGCTACCATCACCTCCATCCATCCACAGAACTCTTTTCATGTTGCACAACTGAAGCTCTGTATCCATCCAACAATAATTTCCCATTCTCTTCTCCCCTCAACCCTGGCAACCACCATCCTACTATCTGTCTACATGATTTTGACTACTCTAAGTACCTCATATAAGTAGAATCAAACAATATTTGTTCTTTTGTGACTAGTTTACTTCACTTAGCATGAAAGAATGCTAAGTGAAATAATGCTTAGCATGAAATGTCCTCAAGTTTCATCCATGTTGTAGCATACATCAGAATTTCCTTCCTTTAAAAGGCTGAGTCATATTCCACTGTATGTATACACCACATTTTACTTATCCATTCATCTGTTAATGGACACTTGGGTTGCTTCCATGTTTTAGCTATTGTGAATAATTCTGCTCTGAACATGAGTGTATAAATATCTGTTTGAGTCCCTGCTTTCACTTTTTTGGGGGTATATATCCAGAAGTAGAATTGCTGGATTGCATAGTTTAATCTTAAACCACCATACTGTTTTCCAGCACCTGTACCATTTTACATTCTGGCCTACAGTGCGCAAGTGTTCAAATTTCTCCATATCCTCACCAATGCTTGTTATTTTCTTTGAAAAAACTTTTATTTTATAATGTCCATCCTAACTGGTGTGAAGTGGTATCTCACTGCAGTTTTGATTTGCATTTCTCTAATGACTAGTGTTGTTGATCATCTTTGCATGCACTTATTGACCATTTGTCTATTTTCTTTTGAGAAATGTCTATTCAGGTCCTTTGCCCTTTTTAAAATCAGTTTTGTTGGGACTTCCCTGGTGGTCCAGTGGCTAAGACTCTGTACTCCCAATGCAGGGGGCCTGGGTTTGATCCCTGGTCAGGGAACTAGATCCTACATGCCACAACTAAGAGTTTGCATGCTGCAACTAAACATCCTGCACGCGGCAACAAAGATCCCATATGCTGCAACTAAGACCCTACGCAGACAAATAAATAAATAAATATTAAAAAAACATCAGTTTTGTTGTCATTGAGT